TAGACCGGGCTGCCCTCAACCTCACAGAGACCCGCCTGCCTCTGCCTCCCAAGTGCTGGGATTAAAGGCATGCACCACCACACCCGGCTTTTTTTTTAAGGAGCAGTTTAAAATTGTTACATCTTCTGTAAAACTTAGAAACAACAATGCCTCTTGCTTACCGAGTACTAGCTCTCTTCTTGGTTATATTACTGCCCAAGCCCGTAGTGGACCCCATGCTAGATAGGCCTAAGACTTCTTTTTTTCTCTCAGGTCTATACCACCCCCCAAGTCATTCTTATGTGTCACCTATTTCTTTTATTTATTTATTTATTTATTTATTTGTTTGTTTGTTTGTTTGGTCTTTTTGAGACAGGGTCTCCCTGTAGCCCCAGCTGGCCTGGAACTCACTATGTAGACCAGGCTGGCCTTGAACTCACAGAGATCTTCCTGCCTCTGCTGCCCCAGTGCTGGGATTACAGGCATGTGCCATCACATCCGCCTGTGTCACCTATTTCTTATTGGCTCATGGGGTGTTGTCTGCTTCCCACTTGAGTGGAAACAGATTTTGCACTTGCTGTGTTAGCTTTCACCATGGCGTTCACACTTGGCATGTTTGCATTTGATTCTTATCATGAAATGTAGAGACTGGACTTGATTATATCTTTTCTAATTCATTCCGAGTCAAACAGAACTTTCGAATAGAAATTGAATGGGAAAAGTCAGTAATGTTTTTCTGCAACCTTTTTAGATTAAAAAGTAGTATAAGAAAGCTGAGCAAAGAGTGTTCTTAGGGTCTTATCGTCTCTCCTGTCCTTGTAGAATCCAGACTTGAAAGGGACTGACAAGTTCTTCATTCCAATTCTAACTTTGGGCATGAAGACTCTTGTAAGACCCAAGGCAGTCCATGACCCTGTGTTGAAACAGGATCTTTCTTCATCCCTACCCCTGCTTGAAGGTCCTATGTAAAGCTAAAATGTGACATCTTTAAATATGTACCTTTTGGTTTGGGGGCTCCCTCAAGCAGTAACAGGGAATAAACCCTTTTCTCTTTAAGTCAATTCCAAATATTTGAAGAGCATCACTTGGTCTCTTTGCTTATCCCATTATAAGTCTCTGTACTATCATCAAGCTCTATTCATTGTAAGATACCAACTTAGATTTACTGTGGTATCTTCAGTGTGACCTTTTCCAGTGTTGATGGGTTTCATTTCACAGTTGCCCATAGACTATTGTGATTTTATTGCCCATTTGTTTGTTGAATGTGTGAATGAATGAATGAATGAATGAGCAAGTGAGTGTTGAGCTTCATTAAACCATTTACCATTAACATTTTTTATTTATGAAATATTGCAAACATAAAAATGAAGAGCAATAAAACCCAGTATTAGGACTCGTATCACTAAACATGCTTCAGATTATTGATTTATAGATAGAAGCCGAATCTAAAGCTCCCATACCCGACCCATACCCGTTCTCAACCTCCAGAGATAGCTACCCTCCTGCCAGTGCTTTTTATGATTCTTCCTCTACTTGTGCTCACAGCAATACATGCCTCTGGTTTACGTGGTTTTTAATTTACCAAGAAAGATAATGTTCTAGGTTTTTCTTTTTCCATTTAATGTCTTATCTTGAAGACTTATTGTCCATGCCAATATGAATAGGTCTAGCTTTTTAAAAAAATTTTTTATTTTATGTGTATGAGCATTGCCTGCATGTATGTGAACACACCTGTGTCATGCAGTGCCATGGAGGTCAGAAGAGGTCTTCGGATTCCCCTGGAACTGGAGTTAAGGACGGTTTATAGCCGCCATGTGGGTGCTGGGAATTGAACCCGGGTCCTCTGCAAGAGCAGTCAGTGCTCTTAACTGCTGAACCATCTTTCCAGCCCCAGGTCTAGCTTTTATTTATTATGCTTTTGTTTATTGTATAGGGGGATATGTATATATATACATGTGTGTACATGTATACAATGTGAGTGTGGAGATCAGAGGACTACTTTCAGAAGCCAGTTCTGTCCTTCCACCACATGGGCCTCAGCTAATTCAGGTTGTCAGGCTCGGTGGCAAGTGGCTTTACCTGCCAAGCCATTTCTCCGGCCCTAGCTTTCATTTAAACTGCTGAAATACTAACTTCCTTGTTTGATGAACACTTCAGTTGTTATCTCTACAGACCTACAGTCCTTTATTTGAAACCCTTAAACACAAATTACTTTGGAATTCAGGTTTCATTTAGCTTTTCAGAAAGATATGTGTTACATATAATATCTCCAACATAAGAGCAGCACAGGATTCGTGAAAGGGACAGTAAAATGCCGCACTATATGGAACAAGCAAAGACCACAACAGATTCAAGTCTGATCAGTTTTCACTATATAATTAGTTTGCTACAAACTTAAAAAACTTCAGTTTTCACCACTTTTTGATTTGTGGCTGGTGGATTAGAGATCTGTGCAAAAAGGCTTTGATGAACATCTGTTACATATGATAGTCTCCGCAATATAAACCAGAGCCTCTCAAGACTTACACTAGAAGTGGTGCTAGTCATGTAGTTTAGCATATTAATTCTGCTAGGGCTTGTCAGAAAGCTGTTAAAGTATTTCATAGTTTTATTTATTTATTATTTATTTGAGACAGGGTCTCACTGTGTAGCACTGGCTTTGTAGATCAGGCTGGCCTCATATTCATAAAGATCCACCTACCTCTGTCTCCCAGGTGCTGGGATTAAAGGCATGTGCCACCATGCCCAGCTATTTTGCCAGTTATAATCCTACCAGTTATTGTGGAAGTTCTGGTTTTCCCATATCCATGTCCATGTGTGTTCTCAGACTTTAACCTGTTTGTCAATCTGTTGGAAGCAGTGTGATCTCATTGGTTTTAATCTGTGTTTTCCTGAGTCACCACTAAACTGAGCAACTTTTTATGCCTTTATTGTCTCTTTAGGGTTCCCTTTTCTGTCATTTGCCCTTTGCCCATTAAAAAATGCTTCATTTGACTTTTCCTATTAATTTGTAGCAGTTCTTTATATATTCTGGACATTAGTCCTTTTGTTATCTGCTGTGGATATATTTGCTTATTTACTGGTGCCTTTGGCATAGAGAAATTATTATTATGATGTTGTTGTAGTCAAATTTACCAGTTCTTTGTGGTTTGTGGGTTTGGCAAGGGTTGAGGAATCTTTAACTCAACATCATTTATGCACTTTGTTTTTTTCCAGAGAACTTGAGAGCCTTGCTTTTTGCATATAGGTTTTAAATCATCTTGAGGGTTTGAGTTGGAGGGTTCCATGAAGTACCTTTTCTCTATATGATAAACTGAGCTCTCAGCACTTTTTAAAGTCCATTCTTTTCCAACTGCCTTGTCTCCCAAGTCAGAAAGTATGTGGCTGCTTCTGGGCTCTCTTTCCACTTGGGCCCAGTTTGTCTCTCTCCTTCTTTTGTCCTTGCACTGCTACCATATTACTGTGATTATTATGACTTTGTAGCAAGCCTTTTTTTTTTTTCTTTTTGGTAATAGGGATTAAATTTAGGTCCTTGCACATGCTAAGCAAGTGCTCTGTCGCTGAAGGGCTCTGTCATTGAAGGGCTCTGTCACTGAAGGGCTCTATCTGAAGAGCTCTGTCACTGAAGAAGGGCTCTGTCACTGAAGGGCTCTATCTGAAGAGCTCTGTCACTGAAGAAGGGCTCTGTCACTGAAGGGCTCTATCTGAAGGGCTCTGTCACTGAACGGCTCTATCACTGAAGGGCTCTGTCACTGAAGGGCTTTGTCACTAAAGGGCTCTATCTGAAGGGCTCTGTCACTAAAGGGCTCTATCTCTAAAGGGCTCTATCTGAAGGGCTCTGTCACTAAAGGGCTCTATCTGAAGGGCTCTATCACTGAAGGGCTCTGTCACTAAAGGGCTCTATCTGAAGGGCTCTGGCACTAAAGGGCTCTATCTGAAGGGCTGTATCACTGAAGGGCTCTGTCACTAAAGGGCTCTATCTACAGGGCTCTCTCACAGAAGGGCTCTGTCTAAAGGGCCCTGTCACTGAAGGGCTCTATTACAGCACTGTAGCCCCAGTTTCTTTTCACTTTTTATTTTGAGCCAGGGTCTCACTAAGTTGCCCAGGTTGGCCTTGAACTCACTGTGTAGCCCAGGCTGGCCTTGAACTTTGAATCCTCCTGATTCACCCCCCTCCCAACTACTAGCCCCCCAAGTAGCTAGGCTTACAGGCCTGCATTATCTGGCCCAGATTGTAGTAAGCCTTATTTACAGGCAGGAGAAGTGATCCTTCCACATATTTCTTCAGTATTGTCTTGGCTGGTATTTTGCCCCTCTACCATGTTTTTGTTTGTTTGTTTCCCTTCTTGCCAATAATGGCAGCAGCTTTCTGATTTATTAAGTCACCAATGCAAATGTTACCTCACTGCCTACATCCTGCTCCTACTACTAGGAGTCCTAATTTTTCTGCCCATCAGTCCTCTGTTGTTGTTACCCTGAGATATTCCACGTGGTGGTTACCTTGATCTGCGTTCCTGCATCAGCCTCTGGACCTCCACACCCTCCCTTTCCAAAATACCCTGCACTCCCCTCCCTGGAGCAGCTGACCAGTCTCAGACTCTAGTAGTGATTTCTGGCTGTTTCTCAGGGTCACAAGTTTTGCCTAGGAGCATTCAGGAAATCCTTAGACAGCTGGCCTGGCTTCTTCTGGTGCCTTGGGTCCTATTTAGAAGCCACAGGGAAGCCCTGGAAAAGACTAGAGACACTGAAACCAGAGTGGGGCTCCTTGCTGGCCCTGGTAAATCTGAGGTTTTGGTATGTAGTGCTCACAGTGGAGGCTTGTTGAGCTTTTCCTCAAGAACTGGAGATAAGGCCCCTGCACAAGGCTGTAGGTGAAAGACCTGTGGAAGCACAGGAGGCTGTCGGGGCTAACATAAGCAACATTCCAGGGGCCTACAGGTGATAGGGGGTGATTAGGAAGTATTCAGAGGGTGACCTTGGCCAGGCCCTGGGAAGCTTCCAGAGAGTGCTCTAGGCCTGATGTCTGGGACTGTGTTGCGTTTCTAAATGAGATGGCAGTCTCCCTCCTATTGCCAGCCAGAGATGTTTACCAAACAGGAGATTCCTATCTTTCAGGGCCTTCCACTAAGCATCCCCCACTGCTTTCTCTCTGACTCTCCTTCAAGCTGTCCAGCCTGCTTTTAATCCACCTGAAATGCCTTGCATGCCTTCTGTGTATCATTTTCTTCCTCCCTTTCTTCGCTAAACCCCAATCCACCTTCTTCAAAGTAATACTTAGACCTCCTCTATCCAAGCCTTGTATGGTGACATGCATGACTATAACCCCAGCACTCTGAATGCCAAGGCAGGACCATCATACGTTTGAGGCCAGCCTCAGCTACATAATGCTATCTTGTCTCAAAAACAACTGAATACAACTCACTCCATCCATAAGACTCCAGTTTACAGTTCTTTGGCCTCGGCCTTTCCATTTCCTCTGCCCCACTATACACAACTTTTCAGCTTTCTGTTTGTTTCTGCTTTGTGTGTAGGTTTTCTTGTAAATCTTCTCAGGGTTTTTTCATGTCTATCTAGCCTGTCAATTCCTAATTACATTGTTTCTCAAGGGCAAGGATTATATCTCACTTGCCCTTTGACTCTTGCTAATACAGACCAGTGCTCAGCACATTGGGTCATAGAACAGAGAGTGGGATTGGTTGGACCCTGGTTGAGGTTTATCGCCGGCTATGTGACCTTGAGCAAGTTACATAAGCATTCTGGGTTTCGGTCATTTTATTTATAAAATGATGATAGTACTTTTCCTTACAGAGTTATTGACCTAGCAGTGTCTCAAATACAGTAAGCATTCACTAAATGCTATCAGTGTTATTATTATTACCATTAGGATATTAGAAATTATGCCAAAATAGTGTCCTAAACACCATATGTAAGTCTTACAGTTCAGCTGCACTGTCAATTTAAATCAGTTGTATGTTGGCCCTAGAAAAAGTTCTCTTTCCTGACTGAAGTGCTGGTGATTATTCCTGTCTCACTCATTTCCTCCCTCTTCCTTTGATAGGCAGGTCCACGAGATTCAGTCTCACATGGGACGCCTGGAGACAGCAGACAAGGAGTCTGTGCACTGTGAGTAATTAACCAAGGAGACCAGAGTCCTTTCTCTGACACCGGGCTAATGGGCTGGGTTTCCTGACTGCATTCTGCCCCGGGGGCTTAGATTCAGTTTGGAATGAGTCTTGTTGGGGTGGACAGAACAACCCTATGGCCAAGTCACAGATCTCCCCGATTGTGCCCATTGGAGTTCCACCAGTCTTATCCCCCATTACCCCTTCACTCAACCCGACTTGGCCCTATGGGAATGGAAGTTCTGTCCCCATCTGTCTTAATCTCATTACCTAGTCCTCGGAGGAATGCAGTCCTCCACCGGTCTTATCCCCCATTACCCCTGCACTCAACCCGACTTGGCCCTATGGGAATGGAAGTTCTGTCCCCATCTGTCTTAATCTCATTACCTAGTCCTCAGAGGAATGCAGTCCGTGAAAATTCAGAGACGTTGACCTGGAACTGGCCATCTCTTCTGCTCTGAGAACTCTGATTTTTTAGGAGGATTATTCGGAAATAACTAGCAGTATTAATTAGTTTAGTTCCCACACTAGTGTCTTTGAGAAGCACACTGGTTGTGGTTTGGAGTTCTGTTTGTGTTCTGAGAAAGGCCCCTTACCGAGCCAGTCTTGTAGACATTCCCTCAGAAGCTCTTGCCACCTTACTGCCCTTCTCTCATCAGGTCTATTTCCGTTTCCTGCCTCTCTCCAGGGCTCCCACCCTGGCTGTTCAGTTGGTTCTGCACCCCACAGTGCCCTAATCTAAAGTGTTTGCTGCAGGTGTGAAGGCCTAGGAAGGAGTGGTACTGGGGCTGTCACTAGTTGGTGGGGCAGACAGCTACCTGGATGCTTGGTTTTGTGCAGTTTATTTCTGCCCATCAGACTTTGTTTGCCTTCCCAATAATCTCACTACTGCCTGATTGGAGGTGGAAAGAGGACATTTTGACTGCCTTATCAAAGGGGATAAGGAAAATGACAATTTATCACAGCTTTCTGCCTCTGTGGGCTCTTCCTGGGTCTTTCCTGTTGATATGTGGTCTATTTTGAGAGCTGCAACATATCTGAGCCCACTCATTCTTTCAGAAAGCCTCTGGGTGTTTCCATTCTAATTGTCCCTTTCCTTTATACTTTTTATTTTTCTTCTAACTTCATTACTATAAGAAAATTTGGTTGACAGCCCTTTTAGTAGGTATTTGTAATCATTATCTGAATGTAATCTCAAAGAAAACTAAATTTGTATCAGAAACTAGCTTAACATATTTGGGCAACCTTTAGATGTTTTGTTTTCTAAAGATAGGAAATTTATTTCTACAGATACACCTGCAGCTTTAAAAAATGACAGAACAGTTGTGTGTAGCTATGTATGTGTCTGTATGCTTATAAGGGAACATAAACTTTGAAACATTTACACCTTGAATTAATTCATCTCTGTGTACATTGTTCTCCTTTTGAAATACGTGTTTTAATTTATGTTGTGGAAAAATGTTTCATTTGTCATTCTAAGTTCACTATCTCTTCCAGCAATTATTCTTTTTTCTCTTTTGTGCAGTAGTAGAAAATGAAATCCAAGCAAGCCTAGACCAGATATTCAGCCGTCTAGAACGTCTGGAGATTTTGTCAAGCAAGGAGCCCCCTAATAGAAGGCAGAATGGCAAACTGTGAGTGTTGACCCCCTGACATGGCTCTAACACCCAGGCCCACTAAGGCAGGCCTTTCTTCCATAGAGGCTGTAGAATATTCTGAAAATCTGGTACATATTAAGATGAAGGCTATGCAGAGATAAAGTCTCCCTAAGAGTTCTGAGTGATATCCCTTCCAAACGAAAAGTATGAGGTTTGGTGGCTTGGAAGCCTGTGATTATGACCCTGTGTTTCTTTGGAGTTGTTTTGAAAATTTGCCTTCACCTCTGTTTTTCTGACCAGACCCCTGGCTGCTGAAAGCCTAATGGTGCTAAGGAGTTTGGTTGTGCTGTTTGGTTCTCACTGGCTTCTTCTTGGGTTGAAATACACTTGTGTTCTTAATCACTTCAATCAGTCTCTTTATAATGAAATACTGATCTAATGTTTGATACTCTACCATGAAATTCAAGTGAAACCACCCTCACCACCACCACCCCAACCTTGCTCCCAAAAGTTTCATGAAACTTCATTGATGCTTTACCTCAAAGATGCCCTTGGGCTTCTTCTAGGAGTGTGATATAATCCATAAAAGGTCAGGAAGGGGTCATCGAACCTGCTTCCTGTTCTCTCTTTCTGACATGCACCCAGAATCAGAGTCCAGCAGGTATTTGAGTAAAACTGCTGGAGTCGTGTGTGCTACCAGCCACTTTAACCATGGCTGCTTCCTGACTTGAACATCTTTGATGAATTTCAGGGGATGGCATGTGCACTGTGGGGAGAAGTAAGGAAAGGTCTTTCTGAAGTCAAAGCCTGACTGCCTCAAATTGTGCCACTCTGAGCTCCTGGAATTTAATCTCTCTCTCCATCAATTCCAGCCGTGTCGACCAGTTAAAGTATGATGTCCAGCACCTGCAGACGGCCCTCAGGAACTTTCAGCACCGGCGCTATGCCAGGGAGCAGCAGGAGAGACAGCGAGAGGAACTTTTGTCGCGTACCTTCACCACTAACGTAAGCCAAACACCAAGGTTTGGCAGGCACCTGACAGGTGTCAGGACTGAATGCAGGTCACCAGGCTTCACCTTTTGGGGGTGGGGAGGGGGTGCCAGAAACTAACTAATGAGGAGGAGACCAACTGGAAATGACAGGGGACTTTGTACATGGCCACTGAGACTATACCTAGACAAGGAATTTCTCTCCAACACATCAACCTGAAGAGGAAGCAGTTAAATTGAAGGAAGGGGCAGAAGTGAAAATTATCTGGTTCGACTGGTCTGCCGCAAAGGTGGAAGTTCGCATGTCCAAGATGTTTTTGTGATCAGATAGAGACAGATGATTAGAACTTAGCCCATTTGTAGAAAAAGCAGCATTTGAAAGCTGCCTCCAGGCAGTTGCCATTGTGCTGTGTATGTGTGTGGTTCCAGTGGCAGATGCATTAAAATGTTTTGGCCCCTGGTCTGAGCAGCAATTTGGAGGAATTTGTTAACAGATGTTTAGTGTTAGATGGATTGCTTGACCTAAGTCTTTTGGAAAATAGCTTGTTGGTTTGCACGTTTGATTTCTTAGAAGCCCTGTCCCTGCCCTTTAGCCTCAGTAAAATCAGTCCTTTCACATGACTTTGGAACATATTGGTCATTTTCAGTGTCCTGTTTGTGTGATCTACCAAATGAAGTGAGTCTGAGTTTGTATTTTGTTACTTTGTATACCTGTCATTAGAATTGTACAGGATCCTGTTTTGCAGATGTGTAGCTCCCATTGTTCCATCCACATGCTGTAGTACATTCCTCCAAGCACCTTAGAATTTTAGTGCATAGTCTGTATTTCACCAGAGTAGGCAGGCAGGTTGTAGTGATTAACAGTTCACAAGTGCAGCGTGCTGTGAGACGTACTAAAAGGTCTTGTATGGGCTTTGGATAATTATGCTGTCGTATTCAGGCATTTTTTTTAGGCCAGAGATGATCTCTCAAGATTATTTTGTTGCTTGTCAACCTCATGTAGTACTGCAAATATAGTGGGCTATTAATAAATATTGACTTACCACATGAAACTTCTTCCTGATCATTTTACCTATTCTGAGAGGTAATGGCTAATAGAGCAGCTGAAGTTTAACCTGCTAATGGAACTGGTTTTCAGTAGTAGAGGCAGCACTGTATGGCAGGAGACAGCAGGAAGAACACTCAAAGCCAGTGACAGATTGTACCTGTTTGCACCCCACAGTCTTTGCGAAATTAGAACCATAGGATTGCTCTTAGTGTTGCTGTCTACAGTGGGGTTAAACCAGGAGCAGACCTTGCATTCAATCCTGGGATCCTGTCATTCTGGACAAGTTATTCCATCTGTCTGGGCTTTACTTTCTTCATCTGCAAAATGGGGAAAATTGGAGTAACTCACAGCACAACTCAGTTAGTTTAGGGCAGTGAGCCTGTAAAGTGGAAAGTGCTTGGTCAGGATTGATAGAGCACCTTAATCTGAAATTCCAGAATCCAGAGGCGGTATTTACCGGATAAACGCCGTTGCAGATATTTTGAAAGTCTGAAAAGTTCTGAAATCTGAGACACTTTGGGTCCCAAGCATTTCAGATAACCTGCACTCAACCTGTGTTTTCTTTTTTCTTCTTTTTCCTCTGCCTTTCTTTTTTGAGCAACCTTTTCCTGCCTGCTCAGAAGTATAGTCCCATCCTGAACACCGTACTTCAGTAGAGAGCACCATCCCTTTGATCCTCAGTCTCAGTCTAATCGGAGGGATAAGCTATAGATATGATAGCTAAAGAACAAAAGCAAACATTTAATACCAAGAACAAGAAGTCATGTGAAAGAATACTTGGAACAGCTATCTTTGAGAGGAGCCAGAGAAACCTTTAGGAGAAACCAGCAAGGTCTTAAAGGAATAGCTAATTTTTCCTCAGCAAGGAAATGGGATAGATGGAGAAATCAATGCTTAGCAGAACTCATTTGGAGTGACTGGTCTGACACCTCCTCTGCTGCTGTGTGAGCAGACCTGCCCCCAGCCCCCTTGTTTGCTTAGCGTTGGCTTCTCTGATTCTTGGATTGTTCCCTCTACCTGTTCTGGCTTGACCATGGGCAAAAGGCAGAGTGGTCAGATGTGGCGGCGCCCCAGGAGCTGACTAGCAAGCAAAGATAATCAAGTGCCTGCATTTCTTTCACAGGATTCTGACACCACCATACCCATGGATGAATCACTGCAGTTTAACTCCTCCCTCCAGAACATTCACCACGGCATGGATGACCTCATTGGAGGCGGGCACAGTATTCTAGAGGGACTGAGGGCCCAGAGACTGACCTTGAAGGTGGGGTCCCTGCTGGGGAACAGAGAGAAGGCCTCATTTGGCCTCATAGTTTAGCATTTATCTCTGTATTTTGTTTCTGTGTCCCTGGTTTGTTTTACTGTGATAGTGAACCCAAGCCCTTGAGCTTGTAATCCTTGTCGGAGTTGACTTACTATAAGTCCGAAGGAACTGAATTCACTTTACCGGTACTTGCAGTGAACCACAGTGGCCCCTCTTCAGAGCCAGGGCTGTGCCCCTTTATTGAACTTGCATAGAAATGAAGCTACCACAAGGGAGACCAATGACAGGCTGAGAAGGGCTTTTATAGAATGCTCATATAAGAATGAAGGTACGGCAGCCCTCTAAGGTGATTTTTTCCCCCCTTGAGATTCCAGTTGTGGATTGCATTATAATCCAGGCTCTTTTGTACTTATCCCAGAAGTGGTGTCTTCAGGCTGTAAGTCTGAAGTAGGTTCCTTTGAGAGCACCTGGTGGTCTCCATGTGACTCTTCCCTCTCCCTCCAGCCCCAGGTATTCCTAGAACCCTGCTCTGTTGGTGCTGCTAAGACTCCAACCCCCTGGGAGTGGTTTACAGAAACATTACACAGAGTGATGTCAGTTGCAATGTTTCGGGCTCAGCCTTTTCCTGTATCAAGCCTGATGGCTACTGGGGCGTGGGCTCTGCCTTTTATCAGGGTGTGGTCCCCTGGAGTAAAGCACTCCCAGCTGCTGAGCTGTGAGAAACAGTCACTTGGAAGTGTGACCTTTATCTTAGTTTTTATTGGACCACATTGAGCTACCGGCTCCACGGGCTTCCAGTATATTTCTGAACAGCTCCTACTATACTTACTAGGGAGAGGATCAGGCAGGTCTGGTGACACCTGCCTCCTACTGACAGTCCTAGCATTTCCGGTGGCCCAAAAGGGTGCTTCCCTTTCAGAACAGGCCCTGTAGAAGTCTGAACAAATACTTGTTGGCTAGCCTGCTGTTTCTGTAGAGAACTGCTTTCCTTTCCAAGGCTCAGGAAAAGTTAAGACTTTAATAAGCCTCCGTGCGGCACGAATGCAGAGCTGGAGGGGTGGAGGTTACTGTTGGAATGTTAACTTCCTGCTGAAGTTGTGTCACTGAGGAGTCCATGTGCTCCTGCCACCTGCAGTGTTGGCAGAGGTGGTGTGCCCGCAAGCCGTGTAGGTAGTAGGGTTTGGATCTCTAGCTCGCTTTCCTCTGTGCTCTCCTGCACCCTCCTGCTTGTCTTGTCTCTTGATGCCCTCTTCCCACCTGGGCCAGGGACTTGAGAGGAACAGGGGAGTGTAAAAGACCTGGGCTAAAAGTCACGGGATTTTTTGGTTGAAGATAGATACTTTTTGAAATGTATGGTCACTTTCAGATGATTTTAGAAGTTTGACCCATGAACTTCCTGTGATGATGAAATAATCTCCACTTTATACTAAGGCAAGACCTTTAGCAGTGTCTCATTTTTCACTATTGTGAAAAACTGTCTTTCTAGTCTCTGATAATAAGCAAATCTGACTTGAGATCTCCATTTTATTTATTTTTATTTTCAGTACCAAGAATCAAACCTAAGGCCTTGTACCTGCTAAGCAGCCACTCTACCACTGAGCCCTATCCCCAGCCCAAGATCCCTCTTGATGAGGTTTGTTGATTCTTGTCTGGGCAGACTGTGGGCTCCGCGTTCCTGTCCACAGTGTTTTATTTCCTTCTCCTTCCCCTGGCCTCCTCTCCCAGTTGCTCTTTAATGGGAGCTGAAGGTTAGACCTATTCATGTGAGCACAGTTGGGTGCCCTATGTCTGACCCTACCTTACTTACATTTGTTAATTCATAAGAAATTGAATGTACATTTAAAAACTAGACAGCAGTGCAGAGAGGCAGGCAGGTGCTTTAGGCTGTTGATTATGTTTGGTGGTGGGTGGTGACTTTGTATAAGAAGGTGTAGGTCATTGTGTTGGTGTCTGTCATATTTCTGTCTTTGCTGCTTTTACCCCCTCTGACCCTCAGGTAAATACGGACTGACTAACATACTGTACTCAGTAGAATCCTTAGAGATTCCACTCTACAAAGTGGACAGGTTACTAATCAAGGATTATTGGGGCTAAGAAGCTGAGGAAAAGATTTTTGGTGTAGCCTTTAAAAATACAAGATATTCTAGAGTATCTATCTACACAGGAAGATGACTATGAACCCAAGTTGGTGTTCGTGTGGTATTCTACCAGTCACCTGTTACAGAAGCAGTTTTCAGAAAACTGGTAACTAATGAAAACGTTTCAGAGAATTGGGCCATTCACAGTGGTACTGTTTTCTGACTGGCATGTAGACTGGGCCCTGGATCCAAGGACTGTCAGCTGCCTAAGAAATCATGGCATGATCATAGCCCATGAGGCAAAAATAGGTTACGAAAAAAGACTTCGCCACATTCAGTTATATACTGTGGATAGATTATAGCATTCTGAGAGATTTGAGTAAGAAAAGTAGAGAAGTAAGAACTGTAAAGCTAAGATTGAGCTATTGGGGAGCTATGATCCATGGAAAGAACTCATTATTGAAGATCCCTGTTGTGACAATGATTGACTTTGAGCTCATTTATCAGCAGTGCTTCTGGTACTTCAGGGCCTTCCTGGAGAAGACCCACTCGCTGGTTCTGCTTACCACCACACTGCAACTCACCAGTCCTGAGCCCAGGAGTGGTGATGGCCCTTAGCCCCAGACCCCGTCTGTCTTTTTAGCTGCTTTACTGTTTATCTTAAAAATAATTGTAGGTGGAAATTAGTTGTATTTGTAAAAAGAATAAAAAAGTTTGACTGAGATTGTTTGACGTGTGGTTAAGTATTCTTAGAACCTCTTTATCCTAATTACAAAATGGCAGAACAAGCAAATATGGAGCAAAATAGAACACAAAGTAAGAATGACCTCGGACCTGGTCTAACTCAAGACACACACAGGATGCACAGTCATATAGTCAAAAGATAGGAGAGGCTGGGTGTGGTAGCACGTGTGTAATCCCAGCATTGGGGAGAGTGAGGTAAGAAAATCCTGAGTTCCAGACCAGTGAGACCCTGTCTCAAAAACAAACAAAAATAATAACAAAAGATAGGAGCAGCCGATTGGTAGAATTAATCTTTATCACTCTTACGTGGTTTTTATCTAGTTTTCTGAGCTTATTTGCTCCCATTTGAGCCACTTTGCCTCCAAAATTTTAACTGTCTCCAGAAAAGACACTTGTATATAGTTTATCTTTGATCAGTAGAGGGATAGGTCTGTTTATATGCATATGTAATACAATTGTCATAAATTGACCTAGGCGGTAAAAAGTCACTTAAAAAGCTGGAAAGCCGGGCATGGTGGCGCATGCCTGTAGTCCCAGCACTTGGGAGGCAGAGGCAGGCGGATCTCTGTAAGTTCAAGGCCAGCCTGGTCTACATAGTTCCAGGACAGCTGTGGCTACAGGGAGACCCTGCTTCAAAAACACACAAAAAAAAAGTTGGAAAAAGTTCTATTTGATGCGCTTAAATACTGGTATGTTCACAAGTAGTCTTTCATCAGCATTTTAAAAAGTTGCAGACAGAACATAGGTAATGTCAGTATACTTTCAAGACAGTTGACCTCAAGTACATATGGATATCTGTCAGGAAGGATTGTAAAAATAAAGTAGGGAGTTATCAAATACAACTGAGGAAAATAAGATATTCTAATTTTAAAATTGTTTATTGAGGTATAACTTAGATATAGTGACATATACAGGTCCTATTTGTATAGTCTAGGGAATCTTGACAAAGGCACTCATCTTTGACCCCAAAAGATCCCTCTGCCTTGTCTCAGTCTAACTCTCTCCCTAGGCAGTCACTGTTCTAATTGGTTGCACCCTAAATTAGTTCCGCCTGTTATTGAACTTCATGGAACTGTATTCATACCACTGTTTTATCCCTCTGATGTTTTCAAGGTTCATTCATGTTATGACATGTTTGGTTACATATGGTAATTAGGTCCTTTTTATTGCTGAACCATGTTCCATTATGCATATATACTATAATTTCTTCATCCTCTCTTGATGGGTAATCTGGATTGTTTTCAGATCTACTCCTGATTTGTTTTGTTTTCATTATTTTATGTGGATGAGGGTCGTGCTGGATAACTTTTGTGTCAACTTGACACACCTGGGTTGAGGGAGCCTCAGTTGGGGAATTGCCTCTATTGGACTGGCCTGTGGCCATGTCTGAGGGGCATCTTCTTGATGAGTGATGTGGGAGGCCACTGTGGGTGGTGCCACCCCTGGGCAGGTGGGCCTGTGTTGCATAAGAAAGCAGGCTGAGCAGGGGCCAGGGGAGCAAGCCAGTAAGCAGCATTCCTCCATGGCCTGTGCTCCAGCTCCTGCTTCCAGGTTCCTGCTCTGAGTTCCTACCTTGGGCTCCCTGATGAACTGCGACCTGGGAGTTGTAAGCTGAATAAACCCTTTCCTCCCCAATTTGGTATTGGTCAGAGTGTTTTGTCACAGCAATGGAGAAACAAACTAAGAGAAGGGTTTTGCTTGCATGTATATAAGTGAGCCCATATTGTGCAGTGCCCGAAGAGGTCAGAAGAAGGCATCATATCCCCTGGAACTGGAGTTAAGGATGGTTGTTAGCTGCCGCGTGAGTGCTGGGGAACAAACCTGGGTCTTCTGCAAGAGCATCTAGTGCTTTTAACTACTGAGCCATCTCTCCAGCCCCGTTTTGTTTTTTCAAAAGAAGTTTTGGTGTAGTTTTAGCTTTTGTGTTTAATTCTGTGATCCATCTTGAATTGATTTTAAATTTTTTACCTTTTTTTGTTTTTGGTGTGTGATGTACTTATGAAAGTGCACACTTGATCCTATCATGCTGCCTTATTCCCCTGGGACAGGGTCTCTACTGAATCTGTAGCTAGGTTCGTGGCCAGTAAGGCCAGTGATCATCCCCCATGGCACTGGGATTATGTGCACAGGAACAACTTTATCCGGCTTTTTACAGGGGTTCTAGAGATCCGTGTGTTTGTGCAGCAAGCACTCTTGCCCTCTGAGCTGTCTTCCCAGCCCTGGTTTTGTATATAATGTAAATCAAAGTTCATTTTTACACACATATATGAAATATACATATGTACATGTATGATACATATATGTGATATGTAGCCAGATCTAGTATCATTTGTGGAAAAGACTTCTTTCCCCTTTGATCAAACACTAGTTGGTTATGGTAGAGTGAATCCATTTCTGATGGGTGTTGCTTTCTCAGTACTCTGGGTATGTCCAAGACAGGGTCTGTTAGTAAAACCCCAGCTCGTGGCAACCGTTTCCCACCCTTGGCCAACAGGGTAATCTTTGTTTTTCTTTTCTTCTCATCTGCCACAGGGAACTCAGAAAAAGATTCTTGACATTGCCAACATGCTGGGTTTGTCCAACACAGTGATGCGGCTCATTGAGAAGCGGGCCTTCCAAGACAAGTACAAGTACTTCATGATTGGCGGGATGCTACTCACCTGTGCAGTTATGTTCCTTGTGGTGCAGTACTTGACATGAGCCAGCCACATCCAGCGCTGGACAGCCTTCCCATCGTGTTAAAGTGTATGTGCGCACATGTGTGTGTGCAAGCAAGAATGGTGGGCTGGGCGGCAGCCTTTTGAAATGTATGCCTCAACTGTGAAGACACCCACCTCCAGGACTAATTGTGACTTAGTATCAAACCTGTTCTGTTTTCTGTGACATCTGGAGAGGAGGAGCTAGGGTCATCAAGATGTGTGGTGCTTAGGAGTGGATCAAGTTCCTTTTCTCTCGCTCTCACTGGGGGAGGGAAGGAATGGGTTTGGTGGTCTGTCCGCAGGACTGGTACGCACCCTGGAAAGCTTCCATCATGAACCTTGCACACAAGACTGTCCACATTGTTCACACTTTGTCCAGCCTTTGTGGTTCCTGATGAGTGAACCGGAACACCTTCTGGGATAGATCAGTTCTCATCCCTTTGCTTTTGCCACCGCCCCTTCCACCCCCACCTCCCACTCTCCCCTCCTACCCCCCCAAAATGACTAACTGCTAACACTCAACATCCATCCCTGGAAGCAGCGACATAAGTATTGCTGTTAACAAGTAGGCATTTCCATGCTGTGGTTGCTGGGTGTTTGTCTTTCCTGAAGTGATGCAGTGGTATTCCCTGGGAGTGTTCAGTCTGGAGATTGAAGACCTGAGTCACCAGTGTTTTTTCCAGTTAATAGAGTACTTGACTCTTACAGTTCAGAACCTGCAGCTTGGCACCTCTGCCCAGGCTTCCATGGCCCTTTGTTCCTCTGAAAGTAGTAATAGCAAAGAGCAATTTGTCAGTTACAGTCTCATCTTTAGTCCTACCACTATGAATTCTTTGAGTTTCTGTTCCTTGAACTATATTAGCAAATCTCCATTTCCCCAGCCCTGTTAGGCCACCCTGGAGCTCTCTTGGCAAGTATGTCTTCGTAAGAATGTTTCAGGGACCAGGTATCTGTTCCTTTTCCTCAGCTGTGATGAAGACTGCATACCTGATGTATTGTAGAATTTGTTAGAGAATTAGTCTGCCTTGAAACACATTTAATGTGATTAATCTCTGAGAGTACCAGAAAGATCTGGGGAGCTTTTTTGTTCATCAGTCACAGCCCCTGTCTATCCTACCAAACTCTAAGCCTAGTAGCTCTTGGTGGGACTAAAGCAGAATTCCCCAGAACTGGAAACCTGGTCAGTATTCATCCTAACTTTGATTGTCTTGCCCCATCTACTTTCTGCCTTTGCTGCTTTAGTCTTCTGTCCTATTTTCCTCCTCACAGTCCATGTAACTTCCCACCTCCCATACTCTCCTGTTGACTAGCAGCAGTATTGGTCTCTTGGGTACATATGTGAACAATGCCCCTTTTGATGAACTCTCGGCTGTTGGAGAATTTTAGCATGAGTTTCCTGGGTTCTAGTTTCCTACTTCTGGTCAGATGCAGTATCCACTATCCTCTGCTCCTCCTCCTCTAGGCCAAATGGGCCCTAGATGGTCAGGAAGGAGGAATCTTCAACCCTTGGGGAAGGATTGGTAGTCCTGCAGACTGAAAACAATGGACAGTAGCCGGGAGAGCTGGTTTACAACCTCTTCAGACCTAGATTCATGTTGAGAGACAGCTTGAGATTTTCTTCACACCCAGCACAAACCCTTGGCTGGCCAGAAAGTGGAGTTTTGGTTACACAGATTTGACTGTCCTGCCCCCTGGGCACCTGAGGATCCCACCAGACATCCTGCTTTCAAGGAAGATGTGCAAGCCACAGCTGAGCCATTTGGACTCCCAACTTTGGGTGAAATCTGCCTTTCACTGGCTGTTAGGACAATGTTTTATAGTATATACTGGTGTTTCCAGACTTGCCTTTATATAGCGATCCTTGGTTTTGATGGACTTGATGCCATACCTTCACAGCCAAAATAAACTTGAGTGGGGATCTTAACTGCTTGGGACCAGGGAGCAGCAGCCTGCTGATCTGGACTCCAGTGGGTACCCAGCAGGCAATCACCTGACTGCCCTCCCTCACATTCCTGTCCCATGCCTGGTGAGCATGCCTTGACCCCAGCAGGGCAGCTGGCTCAGTCAGTGGAGGAAAAGAGCCCAGGCCAGGGAGGGAGCGCCCTCTAGTGAAGGTGGGAGTGCATTCTTAGCAGAGCTCACCAGCCATTTAAGTGTGCCTGGTGTGATTTGAAGCAGGTGGGATGCCAGAAGGAACTAAAACCATATTAAGTGATCATATGTTCCAGTTGTCACTTTAAGAAAAGCCAAACTCAAGAACCAAGTAAGTAGTTTTTACAGAAAGCTTCACTGGTGGGTTTTTCTCTGAAGCCAACTTGCCCTGTTGAATTTAAATAAGTTTGAGTAGTACATTTAGATTTATGCCCCTTGTTTTGAAAGCCTGTCAGCCGAATAAAGTTGGGATTCATTTTATTGAGGAAATGGTTTTGTGAAGGCATTTGACATTTTTTGCTATGACCGCCTCTTTCAGTTCCCAGATCAGAAGCACTCGTGCATGCCTTTCCAGAGCCACAGCTGGGTGGCTGCCTTAGATGCAGCTGAGAAAACTTAAAAGTAGAGGTTCTTGGGGTCCACCAGACCCTCTGAATTAGGATGGTTTTTAAGTTTCAGATACGTGTATTTTGGAACTGCTGAGTCATGGACAGAAAGCTTTTCACTTAAAGATAACAGCGTCAGGCAGCATCTGGAACTGGCTCAGCATGTATATGACGAGCAGACCTGACCTGCCAAGTCTCAAACACTTCTGCCTTGTTCCAGAAGTGTTGAAGAATCTGAGCAAACAGGACTGGGGCTGTCACTCTGGCCTAGCATCCACAGGGCCCTGGGTTCCATCCCCAGCACTGCAGAGGGGAAATGGTCAGAAATAAGGAAAGGACTAAATGCTGAAAGAAGGTGAGGGCCACAAACAAATCGACAGAATGTCAATACAGAAGAAGACTGGAATCCAAGTCAGTGTCCTATGGACACTGGAGTCCCTCCTGTAACTCGGAGCAACAGCAGAAGAGCATTCATTACCTGTTACTGGCTAAATGGGGTGGAGGTGTCACCTGTGTTCAGGCCGGACCCTTTGTACTGCCAGTTTCCCATAGCCTTTAGTGAAGGTGAGGCAAACTCTTCCTCTGGCCATCGGTCTTCCCAGCCCTCTTGAGTTAGGTCCTATGTTGTACCTGCTGTATAGACAAGGGGCTGAGCCTTAGGGACTTTCCAGAGTTGCTGGCTGTGTGTGGCTAGCCCATGGCCTCAGCTCTGCACCAACCTACCTCTTGCACGCCCCTGAAGAAGCTCCACTGGGGCATGGGAACCAAGGTGGCCTTTTATCCTTTAGTGAGAAGCTATCAAGCATTTGTTGCAGACCAGGGTTTGCATGGCAAAGTCTCTAAAACAGAGTTTACAGGAGTGAATCCAAGAGCAAGATGGGGCTGTTGCCCACATTTGGCCGCTAGGGGGTGATGACATCCTACCTATGGCTGGTCTTCCCAGAGGCCCTTGTTTGGTGCTTAAAGTGATTGGTTGCATTCTCTTTAGGTTCAGATTTCTCTGCAGAGATGTGACTCCAGGCTGCACATAGGCATGCTACAAATTGGCCTGCAAAACATTTCCCCAAGCCTCTATATTAGTCTGTTAACTCTTAGTGAGCCAAGTGACAGTGTTAACTATTAGTGAGCAGACTGCCATTGTCTTTAAGGGACAAGGAAGGGGTCACTCCAGTTACAGATGATTTTTAGCCATTATGTGGGTGCTAGGAACTGAACTTGGGTCTTCTGAGAGAGCAGCCAGAACATCTGAGTCATCTCTCTAGCCCCCTTTTTCCCTGATTAAGAAAAAGCACTGGCATAGTATAACCTCTAGGTTATTACAGAGACTGAGACGACAGGCCCTTAGGATGTTTCTGGACTGTGGACTTTATAATTCTTTTCCCCCAAAGGCACAAGTGGCTAGAGTAGTTAACACTTTTCTTTCCAGGTGACATGAGTCATGAAGTCCCTTAATTTTTATTGATCTGTGGAAGACAACAGAACCTTACTGAATCTATTAGCCATATCCTTGCTCAGTATGCTTTCTTTGTTTCTATAAGACACAGGCTATGCTTAATTTTGGGACATAAGAACAAAGCTATATATGTAGCTCAGAGTGTCACTGTAAGCTCTTGAGAGTTTGTAAATATCACACTTATTTATGTTATAGAGTCTAGCTGGGGTATTTAGGTAAAAATTCCCAACATCATGTCTTTCTGTCATATACGAGGCAATATCCAAGGCAGAAGCTGACAACAGTAACTCCTTTGGCTTTTGGGGTGATCCAAGCGACACTGGTTACTACTTAGACTGTTTAGAAAGGGGTCTTGGTTTATCAATTAATGCAGAGAATAAAGTCTGAGCATTAAAAAGAAAATTAACATTTTTACCAAATGTGTTAAGAGTTACCCACGGTACCTTGATGATCATCTGAAGTCTCTTGAAAGGAGCTTTCATCAAAGAACTAGGGCAGGCATTACTTGAACTAAACCCCACCCTCCCTTTGGAGGGCGAAACATCCTTTATAGTGGTTTATAAGGCAAGTCCTGTTTCTTAGAACCCCACTGGGTATGCTTCTTTTCCAGTGTCCTGGTTTCGCCAAGCTACAACCAGGAGAAAAGACACAGTTCAGGTATCAACCACTTGCAGCAATGAACTCCAGATGGAGAGGAAGGATTGAACAGTTTTACACAGCTGCTGGAATCATTTTAGTCCAGGGACTTTTTCTTATTGTCTCGCTTCAGCTGGCATCAACTGCTTTTTACTTCTATTTGATGACACAGAGAAGGAAGTATTTGGTTGTTCTGGATTCTCAAGAAAATGTGACCCTTGGTACGTTTCTCTCCAGTTGATATGAGGCAAAATAGAAAGGAAAGAAGTTATGGGGACGTAAGAAAGAAAATAGTCTCTCACTCACAAGTCTGGTTGGAGCCTCTTGGCAGCCAAGGAGGAGGAATTCCAGCATAGTTAACTACTGTTTAAGGTCTTTCTCCCCTCCTACCTGTAAACCTGCAGTTTTCTGTAACTCTTACCAGAAACCCCATTCATAGGGAAAGAACACGTATAAACCCCTTTTGCAATCTTAGTGACTTCTGGTTTTTACCGTATCAAATTATAATTCCATCCAAGGCATCTCCAGAGCCACCCTACAGTCAAACGTATTGAAAGAGAGACAAAAGAAAAGGAAAAGGGTTTTAAACTTGTGGGTCGGATGTAACTCGAAAGCCACAAAAATGGTATATGTAGCTAATGCTAAGACAATTAACATGACTCTCACTTGTTCCCATACTCACACTTAGGTACATCTTTCTGAGTGCTGCTTTTTCTCCTAACCCTTGTGCTTAAAGCCTACATTAAATTATCTTTAAGAAAACCTCCAACTCTGCTTTAAACTGACTAGACCTGAAACTCTTTTCTGTGATGAATTCCAGGTGGTCCTGAGTTGAGGTCCCTAAAAAATTAAGGCAACTCCTGAGACTGCCAAGGGTGCCAGTGTTGAGTTGTGTCTCTTCCCTTCATCCCTGAAAGCTTGAGGGCTCTGACCCAGATCCATCTGAAGTATTATTGGTGAGTTCACCTGATTTGATTGATGACCTGCTCTAATAAGCATGGCTTGTATGATATCTTGGTTTCTTTACTTCTGTTTTCTGGCCAGAGAACAATGTAGTGTTTAATAATTGCCTTTGGCACTGATGATAGAAATCGCATAGACCTGTGCATACCTTGTTCTTGGGTCAGGTGGAACATGGCTTTTCTGAGGGACATCACCAAAAGGGCTGATTCCTTAGATGTCCTAAGCCACTCTCTTGCCTCTGTAAGAGAACACACGATGCGAAGAACGCTTTGCTTGGGTAGGAGCCACAGGGACTATT